GTATATATATCATAACGCTTTGATTGTAATTGTGTGAATTTGTTAATGTCAATCAAAAAGTGAGATTGTTTTGTGGAAATTTGTGGAACACACTTAAGGAAGAGGAGGCATATATGACAGATGAAAAATGGTAGTGAGTAAGATCAGAAGAGTAAGAAGAAGGCAATTAAAAAGAGATTGTAATTGATAACAAAGGAGATGACCAGGACACACGTGGTGGTAGGAACTCAAAGGGAATGGAGTGTGTGGGAATGTCTGTGTGAAGGGTACGAGGACAATGGTGTGTGGATGTAAGGTTCATTTAGTATAATGCATTGATAAGTTAATCATGGTCCTTAGACAGGGAAATGGTCATCAAAAGACTTTTAAAAGAGAAGTGTTGCCCCGCCTCCTAGGGATGGAATTAGCCAATAGAATTAGAAGGTTTAGTTAAGTAGAAGTAGTGTTAGATTGTCTTTATAATAGATAGAGATCTAAGGTTGACAGAGTAGAAGGAGAGAGCTGAAGGAGATAGTCCAAGGACAGAGTCAGAGATAGACAGAGATAGAATTACAGAGAGATCTTGGGAAGTGAGACTGAAGAGAACTAAAGGAGAAAGAATGGAGATGGAAACAGAAGGGAATGGATTGAACAATTAAGTTACCATGTATAAGATATGAAGTTGGACTTAAATAAAGGAAGGGGAACTGACATAATGTGTCATCATTTGTAACCTAAAGTTCACAAGTTACCCAGGGTCCCAAGTAAGAATAAGTCAGACCCTAGTGATAACACAATCGTCCGGTGATAATACCATGCTATAGCTACACCGTATGTCTTTGTATTTTTATATTCAGGACATCAAACTGATTTAAACCTAAAAGTTTTGTTGAAACATGTCAAATAGATAAAATATGCTGAAATCCTTTATTTCATCGTTATGGTGAATATAATTTATCTGCTGTACTTCAACAGTTCATGGTTGTCTTTTCTTTACTCACTCAAGCATTCTCGTACACTTCATTCCCGCCTGTTTCATACCAAAATAAAAAGTAAGTCTGTTGCTACTTTTGTGATCCCTTTGTTATTAAGAGGCTTCCACTAGACAAACAAAATAACCATCTTCCACCAGGACCACATTTGCCACAACTACATGTGACAAGAGACGTATTTATTAGCTCACCTGGTCCGTAGGACCAAGGTGAGCTTATGCCATACCGTGGCGTCCGTCCGTCGTCAATTTCTTTATTGGAATTCAACTAAATTTGACTGGAAGCTTCCCTAGGTGGTGGGGATTCAAAATTGTACAAATGGTTGGGCTGACCCCCCAGGGGCAGAGTGGCGGGCCAAAAGGGGTCAATTTGGCTATATTGCTTTAAGCGACTTCTTCTCTGGAACTAAGAGATGGATATCAACCATATTTGACTGGAAGCATCCCTAGGTGGTGGTGATTCAAAATTGTACAAATGGTGGGGCTGACCCCCAACGGGGCTTAGGGGCGGGCCAAAAGGGGGCAATTTGGCTATATTGCTTCAAACGACTTCTTTTGTAGAACTGTGCACTGGATATCAATCATATTTGACCAAAAGCATTCATGGGAGGCAGGGATTCAAAATTGTACAAATGGTGTGACTGACCCCCCTTTCACAGGTATTTGGCTGTATTGCTTTAAGCGACTTCTTCTCTGGAACTAAGAGATGGATATCAACCATATTTGACTGGAAGCATCCCTAGGTGGTGGTGATTCAAAATTGTACAAATGGTGGGTTTGACCCCCCAGGGGGCTTAGGGGGCAATTTGGCTATATTGCTATAAACGACTTCTTCTGTAGACCTTTGCCATGGATATCGATCATATTTGGCCAGAAGCATTCATTGGAGGCAGGGATTCAAAATTGTACAAATGGTGGGGCTAACCCCCCGGCTAAGGGATGGGGCCATAAAAAGTTTATTACTTGGAAATGATTGAGATCCCTACCGTATAACCATATATACAATTGCTGAGTATAAAGAGAAGAATGCACATTTGCTTCGAGGATGGCTCTAGGTTCTGGCCCCACCCTTGGAGACATAGTCCCTGGGTCATAACTTTGAAATGGTTGAGATCCCCACCCCAAAACTATATATACAAATGCTGGGCATAAAGAGACGAATGTAGTCATGATATTAGAATAGACCCTTGGGTCTGACCAAACCCCTGGGGACCTAGTTTCTTTGTCACAGCTTGGAAACAGTTGAGATCCCCACCTTATAACCATATATACAATTGCTGAGTATAAAGAGATGAATGCACATATGCTTCCAGGATGGCCTTGGGGTGCCCCACCCTTGCAGACTTAACCCCTGGGTCATAACTTTGAAATGGTTAAGTTCCCCACCCCAAAACTATATATACAATTGTTGGGCATAAAGACAGGAATGCAGTCATGATATTAGAATAGACCCTTGGGTCTGACCAACCCCTGGGGACCTAGTTTCTGAGTCACAGCTTGGAAGCAGTTGAGATCCCCACCCTGTAACCATATATACAATTGCTGAGTATAAAGAGATGAATGCACATATGCTTCCAGGATGGCCTTGGGGTCTGCCCCACCCTTGGAGACTTAACCCCTGGGTCATAACTTTGAAATAGTTAAGTTCCCCACCCCAAAACTATATATACAATTGTTGGGCATAAAGACAGGAATGCAGTCATGATATTAGAATTGATCCTGTGGTCTGGCCACAACTCTAGGGACCTAGTTTCTGAGTCACAGCTTGGAAGCAGTTGAGATCCCCACCCCATAACCATACATTAAATTGCTGGGCATGAAAAATGTAATACAGATATGCTACAAGGATTGGCCTTGGGGTCTGGCATATTCCCTTTGATCTCATTTGGAGAATATTTTGCCGTGATTGCTTAGATATCTAGATGAGCGATACAGGCCCTCTGGGCCTCTTGTTACATTTTGGCCCGTGAAATATCGGATTATATCAACTTGATAAAACCGATATCTTTCACACTGTGACAAATCACATCAAAAGTGATATTTTCAAATCATAACGGTATCTTCTATTCGCTGCATTCTAAGGCAACGACCTTTTTAGTTAGATTCAAATGAAGCGACGGTAGAATAAGTGGTTGTTATGGTAAATGTTTGGTACACACACTTAAGTATGTACATGTGAACAATCATACGTCGGAATTGCGTTGAGTATCCCATTCGCGCAGCCTTGTTGTCAAGCGTGACGTCATTAGAATATGGCGCTAATGATTACGCTTCTGATTCCCGCCTTTTTAATGCATTACATTTGTTCATGTTTTGTGCTTTGAAAATGTAATAAATAGAAAATTTAATGGTGTCTTCAGTAACAACAAATATTCTTTATATTTTACGTAACATATACGTCTCTGTTGTATCTAACTCTTGTCATTCCGTATCATATTATTAAAGACAGAACGGCACACGTGACATATCACGCGTTTTCATGCGGCACTTACAGACGTTTTAAGATCGCTTGACCGCAATCAAACTTGATATACATTCACAAAGCTAAGACATGTATTTATTTTCTGAAAAGTGTAAAAGTGTAAAAGTAAGAAAAAAGCTAAGATTGTTAGTTCTACGCTTATATCCAGCTTAACATAAGATTGCAATAATGTTTTTTACGGAAATTATTAAAACTGATATCGCCCTTAACTGAAATACTTACAGTTTTGGTACCTTATTCACGATAATTCATTTACTTTCATAGTTCTAGTGTATTTCTAATCTGTCTATAGAAAGGTTTGATGAAAACAAAATGAAACCATTTAGCTAAGACAGTGATTCGTATATTTGTATGACTTATAATAACACAATGAAAGAAAATAATAAAGCTATCGATTCAAAGATTGACTATTTTTGAAGTCCATAAGGGGCTCTTGTTTATCAAAGTTTATTATTCTGTTCTCTTTCTTTACCAATAAGGAAGTATGGAATAAGAGATATGAAACAGGTCAGACTCTCTTTATTTACATATCATTATATATATTTTCAGGGTTTTTTCCACAAATTAATCAATACTAATTTCGGAGCTTGTTCAGATCGAAGATTATTTTAATTTGCTAACAACTCTGTTGTACAATTCGTTTGTTATTTATGTTTCAGAAATCCCGTGTTAACAATCAGATAGATATAGTAAAATAAGTGGGGTTTTGGCAAGAATGTTAAGATATGTTTGAATATATACAGTATATATAGTTCATATAGCGATGACGCCGATTGAAAGCTGTGAGCTTCTTAATTATGGCGCGTTTGAATATATAATTCTTACCTACTATCAAAACATGTGCGAAATGCACTTATTTCTTTTTTAGTGATAATTTTATGACACTTTGGCACAATCGGCAATTATTTTTTGGTTTTGGATTTCGTTTACCTTTAACACAGGTCTACAGTGTACCAATACCTAGAAATTTCCTTCCGTTGGAATTTTTGTAAACAAAATATGTTCAATTGATGTTTTTTTATAATTTTTTAAAGAGGAAATCCAGTTTGCTTGCATAATTTGAATAAAGCACATACTATTTTCACCAGGGAAAAGGAGTGCGATACGTGATGGAAGGGAAATAACTCTTACTACCGTATCCAGTGACAAATTGTGTGGTTGTTATAGCGACGAGTCAACAAAGGTGTCTGTCAAAAGCACAATGTTATATTTATCGATTGAGAAAAGCCTCCCTTGTATTATCATGCTTCGCTAGACCCCAACAGATTGTCCGAAATCCAATAAATAATATCGTTGTTGCTGCAATCTGGAGGTGTAAGTTTGCAGTACATGTATATGAAGACGTATAGCTACCCGTAGCTACCTGGTAACAGGTGCGCCAATATTCACACAACATTCATCAAAGGTAATACTTTTAATTCTTTTATTTTTCCAAAAACAGTGTTGATTTTCTTTAAATTTCTACTGGGTTTATACCAATATTTTAATTTGTATGCCTTAATTGTTCGATATGCATGAATAGTTTGTTTCGTAAAAACAAGTCTCGTGCGGTTCTCGTCAGAATGATAGCATGGTGTTTTGTCTTTTGATATGTTTATGATTAGATAGACTGGCATAGATATATGCCAGCGGTGACGAGATAGTCGAACTCTGTTACCTTATATCAAATATCTTCATAATACGGGATACGTGGAAGGGTTTTGGACTGACTGTTTTTGAGCGGATTCGGTGTGTGTAAATGTTTAGCCGGTGTTGACTACAGACAGACGGAACATAAACATTGGTGACAGGCATGTCGCTCACTACACATCCGGACGTCAACGTAAAGTGGCGAGTGGATAAGTACCCCGATGCCCGGGGGTACGTCATCCAAACGAAGTACTACAGGGGTGATATCGACACAGTACGTATAGACAAAACATCCTCAGTGTTACTAATTTTAGTTGCAAGATAAGAGAGTAAGGAGAAGGGGGGCCCGGGTGGGGTAGGATTATCATGTAACTGCCTTTGTGTATCACTCTTCCGATCACAATTACTTGAGCTGTGTTGACATCTTTACTCCATCAGTCAGGGTCTTGGTGACATTGTTCATAATTGGGTAATACTGCAGATACATGTACCTCACATGTACATGTGCCTGTAATATAGGCTTAGGATCTATCTCTGGCCCAAACAGGAACTTTTCCCGATATTTTAGTCTGGACTCATGTTTTCCTTATGGAACTTGCCAATTTATTAAGGACCCTTTAAATAGATCTTATAGCAATGGGACTCATCAAAGGTTTGAAAAAGATGTTAAGGTTAGACAATTCAACAAATTTTACTTTTAGATAAATAATGATGTACATTGGATATTGCAGATAAAGAATGGTGTACATCAGATGTTTAGATAAAGAATGGTTAACATCAGATGTTTGGATAAAGAATGGTGTACATCAGATGTTTAGATAAAGAATGGTGTACATCAGATAATTAGATAAAGAATGGTGTACATCCGATGTTTAGATAAAGAATGGTGTACATCAGATGTTAAGATAAAGTATGGTGTACATCAGATGTTAAGATAGCGAATGATGTACATCAGATAACTAGACAAAGAATGGTGTACATCAGATGTTTAGATAAAGAATGGTGTACATCAGATGTATATATAATGAATGGTGTACATCAGATGTTTAGATAAAGAATGGTGTACATCAGATGTTAAGATAAAGAATGGTGTACATCAGATGTTTAGATAAAGAATGGTGTACATCAGATGTTTAGATAAAGAATGGTTTACATCAGATGTTTAGATAAAGTATGGTGTACATCAGATGTTAAGATAGCGAATGATGTACATCAGATAATTAGACAAAGAATGGTGTATATCAGATGTTTAGATAAAGAATGGTGTACATCAGATGTTTAGATAAAGAATGGTGTACATCAGATAATCTGATAAAGAATGGTGTACATCCGATGTTTAGATAAAGAATGGTTTACATCAGATCTTTAGATAAAGTATGGTGTACATCAGATGTATAGATAATGCATGGTGTACATCAGATAATTAGATAAAGAATGGTGTACATCAGATAATTTGATAAAGAATGGTGTACATCAGATGTTTAGATAAAGAATGGTTTACGTCAGATGTTTGGATAAAGAATGGTGTACATCAGATGTATAGATAAAGAATGGTGTACATCAGATGTTTAGATAAAGAATGGTTTACATCAGATGTTTAGATAAAGAATGGTGTACATCAGTTGTTTGGATAAAGAATGGTGTACATCAGATGTTTAGATAAAGAATGGTGTACATCAGTTGATTGGATAAAGAATGGTGTAAGGGATAGGACGGACATGGGTAACACTATGCCCCCCATTTTACGGAGGGTTGTACCTTTGTATAAACTTTGACCAAAATCTGTAAAAGAATGAAATTGGGAAGTGTTTACATTGAATCGGGACAACGGGTGTTTACATTGAATCGGGACAACTGGTGTTTACATTGAATCGGGTCAACGGGTGTTTACATTGAATCGGGACAACGGGTTTTTACATTGAATCAGGGGGGGGGGGGGGGGATGGACATGGGCAACACTATTTGCCACTCCATTTTATGGTGGGGACATAAATATGGCATGCACAGGTTGTTGAGATTTCTTTGAGCTGTGTTGACATCTTTGCTCCATCTGTCAGGGTCTTGGTGACATTATACACAATCAAACGGAGGGCAGTCAATACAGCAGGATGGACAGTGGTCGAGGGGAGCTCAAGCACAGACCTCTGAAGACCCTGAACAAAGAGATTGTCAAGAAGGTGCTGGACACACTAAAGGGACATCATGTGATTGCCCGTGATGATTCAGATGGCCACTACTACCCAGGTAAACTAACCAAAAAATCAAAAAAAATCAAACATTAAATTTGATATCAGCTTAGCAAAAATTCTTTTATATAAAAAGTTGTGTTTTCCTTTAAAAAATCACATGCACATATTTGTGTAACATATTTGTTTTAACAAAACAAAAACTATGATGTTGATAATAATTTAAAAAAAAAATACAACTTCCTTTAAAATTAATATTTGGTGACTACTTGTGGATGAATATTCTCCCAAATGCCATTTTATTTTTTAAATTTATATGTTCTGCAAAATTGGTCTCTTTTTTATATCTTTGTAAGAGATTGTTAGATCAGCTTTCATGAAAGAGTGGGAAAAAAATGTCTGAAGAAACAAAAAGTCAGACAAACTGCAATTATTTATTCATCATCACTGATACTGGCACAACCAAATAGGTATAAATCTATAGCCTAACAAGTTTACCCATACAATCAATACTTGTCGTGAGGAAAGAAGTTTCTGCTGTGAAGTAATGATGGAACTACATTATTTATAGCAACAGATGCAGTTCCCATCTTATCACAGGTAATAACAGACGATCAGGTTAGGTATTTCTGTCTCTTGGGTCAGACTGCAGGTAATTAGCACTGATTACAGGTGTATACAATTCCCACTGGAAAAATCACATGTAAACGGTACAGGTGATTAGTTAAAATCCTGCATCCTCAATCTGATTTTCCCAAAACATATCTCTCATACAACACAATCCCCAATACAGTGTATGTCAATCTTTGTGACCTCTGCCTGCCAGTTTATCTATTCAACCACTGGAGATTTAAGGATATACAATAATGCTACCTTACTATTGAGTCTCCATTTCAAAAGAGTTCCACTCAGAGAAATCTGTGAAGATTCTCATCATGTCATACATTACCTGTCTCTCCATCATCAAAGCCTCATCATGTCATATATTACCTGTCTCTCCATCATCAAAGCCTCATCATGTCATACATTACCTGTCTTTCCATCATCAAAGCCTCTTCATGTCATACATTACCTGTCTCCATCATCAAAGCCTCATCATGTCATATATTACCTGTCTCTCCATCATCAAAGCCTCATCATGTCATACATTACCTGTCTCTCCATCATCAAAGCCTCTTCATGTCATACATTACCTGTCTCCATCATTAAAGCCTCATCATGTCATACATTACCTGTCTTTCCATCATCAAAGCCTCATCATGTCATACATTACCTGTCTCTCCATCATCAAAGCCTCTTCATGTCATACATTACCTGTCTCCATCATCAAAGCCTCATTATGTCATACATTACCTGTCTTTCCATCATCAAAGCCTCATCATGTTGTGTCATCTTTCACCTAATCATTAGCAATTCAAAGAAAGGCATTATATTTTGTCTTTACAGCCCCATCTTACTATAACCATCCTTAGCTATATTTCTGATGTCAGTAAACAATGCAACTCTCTTTAGCCATCCTTATTCAACTCCTAAATCACCATTCCTTAGAAACTTGTCAAATGACACCCATAATTAGTAAATTCTCCCTGACTGTCCATTGTTAGCCAAGTTTTCTTAGCCACCCATATTTATTCAACCTGTTCTAGCCATCCATCACCAAACAATTGTCATGAGCCATCCATATTTGTCAACTTTCACAGTTTACTTTTTAATAGCCAACTATCCATTAAAAGCAACCCATGTGTAGCCAACTCTATATATTTACCCATCAATAGCCAACTCTCCATAGCATCCCATGCATAGCCAACTCTTTATATTATCCATCAATAGCCAACTCTCCATAGCAACCCATGCATAGCCAACATTATATATTTACCCATCAATAGCCAACTCTTCATAGCAACCCATGCATAGCCAACTCTTTATATTACCCATCAAAAGCAAATTATCCATAGAAACCCATGCATAGCCAACTCTATATATTTACCCATCAATAGCCAACTCTATATATTTACCCATCAAAAGCCAACTCTATATATTTACCCATCAATAGCCAACTCTCCATAGCAACCCATGCATAGCCAACTCTTTATATTACCCATCAATAGCCAACTCTTTATATTACCCATCAATAGCCAACTCTTCATAGCAACCCATGCATAGCCAACTCTTTATATTACCCATCAATAGCCAATTCTTTATATTTCCCATCAATAGCCAACTCTTTATATTACCCATCAATAGCCAACTCTTTATATTACCCATCAAAAGCCAATTCTCCATAGAAACCAACCAATAGCTTTCAATTCATTAAAGCTTCTAATTTCCAACAATAGCCGAGTTTTCATAGCCATTTTGAATCAGCCAATTTTTCACTGCCAAGCAACTTATTACGTTTTATTTGCATTCAGCTGACTTACTGTGAGGTTCCATGTTGTACTCCCTAGCTACTATTATCACTGTTTGTTTGGAGAGCTCCCTATTGGTACTGCTGTTTGTGTTGACAACAGGTGTAGTACTGAAGTGTCCAGATGCCAGACACGCCCTGGTGGAATTTGCAAACAAGGAACAAAAGCTGGTGCCGACACGTATGGTGATAGCAAGTAGTGGGGCCATACCAAGACCTAACCTCAGGGTGTGTATACACAGACCTTACCTGAAGAGAAGTGGTGTTATTATACTGACTTATTGAAAGATCTTATAATGACAAAAAAAATAAAAATGTATCGACCCATGGGACTTTGTTAGATATTTTAGGATAGATTTGAATTATAAAGCACCCAATTACTTCAACACTAAACTAAACAAGAACTGAAACATTGTGTGTTTCTTTCTTCATCATCTCTTCATACATATTTGATAACACAATTACGAAGTTTCACGTAGATATATGTTAATTAGAACCTTACAGATGAACCTTTGTTTATACAGGCTGGTGACTATGTGTTGGTGCGTGTCCTGTTGGACATGTCAAATCCAAGTAGTGACTGTTACGTTCCCGGCATCGTACAAGTACCTCCGGCCAGGAATGAAGCCCAGGCCAAGTTCTACACTGTTCTCATGTACAATGGCCAACAGGTGAGTTGTGTGGTCAGGCTGCAGACAGATGTCAATTCCAAGGGAGGTAGCTAGTGCTCTCATGTGCCACTTGTTTGTTATTATCTATAGTAAAGCAGTAATTATAACTTGCAATGCAAGAGGAGATTTCCTATTTATGATTTCAAAGGAAAACATCTTGTTTGTAATGTCAAGGGGAAATAACCTTAATGTAAAGTCTGGAATATAAATCGTGTCTGATGGCTATTAAAGGGAGGTTATCAGGGGAGATATCCTGCTTTTAATGTCTATGAGAAATTACCTGTTTGTAATGTCAAATTGAGATTTGGTTTTGGTATTACATGTATAGGGTTTAACATCCTATTAATAGCATAGGCAATTTAAGGACGTGTGTCCATGTGTTAAATGTACAGGTGACCAATTGGTGCATGTGTGTATGTATGCTGGAGGTAGGGTATGTTGATTTAATTGCCCTCTTGTGATAGCACAAGTATTAAATTGCTATCTCACTGAAATACCATCCCGAAGGCACCCAGCATAACAACTCACCTGGTTACCTTATACTGATAATGGATAAACTAGTTATTAGCTCACCTGCCCGAATGGCAAGTGAGCTTATGTCATGGTGCTGCGTCGTCCGTCGTATGGTGTCGTCCGTCAACTTTTCCTTTAAACAACTTCTTCTGAAGAATAAACAGGCCTAGAGTCATGATATTTGGCTGAAAGCTTCACTGGTAGGAGCCTGACAAAGTTTGCGAATGAAAATGACCTGGACCTACTTTCAAGGTCACAGGGGTCAAATATGTCAAAAACTTCAAACGACTTCTTCTGAAGAACTAAAAAGTATAGAATCTTCATATTTGGCTGGTGGCTTCCTGGAATGGAGCCCGACAAAGTTTAAGAATGAAAATGACCTTGACTTACTTTCAAGGTCACAGGGGTCAAATATGTCAAACTCTTATACGACTTCTCCTGGACAACTGAAAGGTATAAAACCTTCATATTTGGCTGTTGGCTACCTGAGATAGAGCCTGACAAAGTTTGAGAATGAAAATGACCTTGACCTTCTTTCAAGGTCACAGGTGTCAAATATGTCAAAAACAACTTCTTCTGAATAATCGAAGGCATAAAATTATAATATTTGGCTGGTAGTTTTTTGGGATAGAGTTAACAAAGTATGAGAAGGAAAATGACATTGACCTACTTACAAGGTGACAGGGGGAAATATGTCAAGCAACTTCTTAAGAAGAACCCAAAAGCATAGAATCTTATAATAATATTTGGCTGGAAGTTTCAATAGATGGAGCCGAATAAGTTTGCGAGGGAAATATTTGTAGTGCAATATAATATTTAATGAGAATATTTTATGACTGCTTAAATATTTAGGTGAGCGATACAGGCCCTCTGGGCCTCTTGTTACCATTACCCTCAATGCTGAACATTAAGCAGGGAATAATTTTATATTTTTAGGAGTTTGGTATGTCCTGTCAAGGGAGATAACCTTTTAATGATTTTATGGTAAAGATCTGGTAACCTGCTGTATGTATGATTTCATTGAGTCTGTTGCTTATGGTTTCTTACAGGCAACAACACTAAGGAAACACCTGATGAAAATCAGCAAATCCAGGTTTGAGTTTGCTATCAGATACATTGCAGAGGTTCAGAATCAGGACCGTAACAGGTAAGGTTTTCGATATACCTAATAGGTAAGGTTTTAGATATACGTAACAGGTAAGGTTTTAGATATACATAACAGGAAAGGTTTTAGATATGCGTAACAGGTAAGGTTTTAGATATACATAACAGGTAAGGTTTTAGATATATGTAACAGGTAAGGTTTTAGATATGCGTAACAGGTAAGGTTTTAGATATATGTAACAGGTAAGGTTTTAGGTATATGTATGTAACAGGTACAAAAAAGATTGTTGAAATCCATAAGAGAAACGGCAGAACAATCCCACCACAATTCTTGCAAAACAGCAGAAAAAACACTGCTAATGGATGCAGTTTGAGATATCAAGGGGAGATAACCAAAGTAATGCTGTTTGTGTTAAAGATGAATATTTTTGTGATTGACACTTTGTGTTGGCATATTATTTTGTGATTTTTGGAATAAATAACCAGACAATAGGAATACCTTGCCTCTGCCATTAATCTTCATGTCCAAAGTTGTTAGGAATACATCAAGACTTTCAGTAAGAAATAAATTGGTAAAAGTATTTTGTCATTGTACATTTCAGGATAGAAGATAAGGTTTATGTAACTCCAAGGCGTGAAAAAGAAGACAGAAGTCGCAAGCCATATAGGTAGTATAATAAATATATTATATTTAGTTAACTTTTATATAATGTATTTCATCTATCCTATGCCAAGGCGGGTTTGTCTGTATTGTATTTGAAGTTCTTTTTGCAGGGACATCAAAATAATTTTCAAAATTCAGAATATTGGCCCCAACAAAACATAAGGTTTAATGATATTGTAAGTTTGGACAATAATTCTTTTCCATCTACTGTAGCTGTCGTCAATTATTTGCAACCACCCATCCGTATTTTTTTTTATGGTCAGCAAGTTTCATTCCTCGACTTTCAATGACTTTTTGGAAAAAAGATGTATATTAAAGCTATTTTTGGAAGGTCCTAAATATATTTTCATTACTTCAAATTGTAATTACCATAACTTTAGTGTGCATATTCAATATCTACACCCATTTTTGTAGCCTGACAACAAAGCATTCGAAAATCCTTCCCTACCCTCACATGACCCATATCTCAATGATAGAGTCACAGAGTAATCTCCCTTCCTCTTACTTTTATGGCGCCCACACTGTGAAGACGGCTTATGGTTTGACCCCATATTAGAATGTGGTTCAGGCTGTTTGGTTTGAATTATACTTCAAAATTTTGCACAGTTTGTGTTCTGTTACCCATCTGCCCCTGTTAGTACTATTAATTCGTTATTGATTATTGTTTTAGTGCCTTTTTATACGCCCGTCAAATTTGTCGGAAGTATCTTCTCCTACATTTTTCGACCAATCTCTTTGAAATTTGGTATACATTATAATCATGATATGAAGTTGTGTCTCCCTTAAAAAATAATTATTCAACAATTTTTCCAAAACTAAATACCCTTAGTTCATTTCAGTATTTGATATTTTGTCCGGAGATTTTCTTCTACATTTTTGTAGCATGTCAGCTAACCACTCTTAGAATGATGCCGATCTTATTTCAATGTAAGAAAGCATATAACACTATATGGCATTCGACGGGCGTATATTGTTCTGCCCCGCGGTACTCTTGTTCAGCAGTTTTTTGTACTCAACATGTCCGAGCTTGGTGTGCCACCTGGTTCGCCATTACAGAGTTTTTTACTGTCGGCGTGTTGTATTTCAGGGCGTGTTTGTGGCAGTACGGTTGTTGATTTCAAACGTTGTTTGTTTCACTCCTTACTGTTTATTCCATGTGAATTTCATTCTATATTATTTGGTGTACTTTGTACAATTTTATTTTGTTTATCGTCATGTTTTTTTCGGCATTTTGGAGGTATGTCTTATCCTGGGCCAGCGACAGGGGACAGTGCATGGGTGTTCACATTTTGCTAAGGGAACGTGCCCCTATGACACTTACCCCCATTGTTGTCCTTGTACTGAGGAGTCTCCCTTTGAACATTGTTCTCAGGCTTCTCTTCAGGACAAGTCCTCCCATGTTCCGAAGCGTCCCTACACTTCTTGTAAGAAGGATCCGTCTGCTTCTACCAGGAAGCAAGGGAGACAGAAAAGGTAAAGGTCGTTCCACCGACTTCTTGGAGTCCAGCGATACAGTCCCTGTCTCTGGGGGTCCCATTTCGGTGATACGTTCCAATGCACAGGGGTTGGTCCAACCAATCCTGAAACTCCCTAGAGTAGGGGAGGGACAGCCCAACCTTGGCTTGGCAGAGCTGGGGGTAGAATTGGCCAGGAATGCCGGTAAGCACTTTGAGCTTGCTTTCGGGTAGGGACTACTGGCCGTCTGAACCATTGACTCGGTCAATGATCCGACCAATCATAGTGGTACTGTCGTTGAGGATGGCATTGGTGCCGAGCCTGTTCCTTTTTGTTCAGGTTCTGGTTTTGCTACAGACTTTCTCTCCTGATTGTTTGTCTCTACCAGGATTACATGTTCGATACTCCAGGGGTTATGCTCACTTTCGCACACTGCACCCCTGAAATATTTCATAGCAAAATTGAAGACATGCAGCTAGCTATTTAATAGGTCCCAGGAAAAAACCCTGACCCATCGCTAAGCTGATACCTGTCCTTTTGAAGATAACAGAGGAGCGACACCCGACTTCAAGGCCAGTCAATTCTACTGTTATGTGACCTACAGATTCTTTTGATCGACATCAAAGAATCAAACTAGTCTTCTCATCTCATCTACAAGGGGATCCACACTGAAACTTCGATTTTGCTTTGACATATTCCAGGGGTGCAGAGAGCAAAAGTTAGCATTTAGTATCAAGAATGCCAGGATTAGTGATGCCCAGCTCATTAATGCCGGCACCTATTTGCTGGTCCGGCTTTCCCTTACGGTAAATTCCCTGGTCCCAGTCCTATCAGGCCCAGCCCGGGTTTCCTTTGATCAGCCTGCAGATGGTTTTCGGCCTCAGCAATATCCAGGCAGCTATGGACATAGGCCGTAGTAATGCCCGTACATGTCCAGCTTTCCACCTAGCCTTTCGGGCAGGGTGGCCAGCCCCAGTCTCAGGTGGGCCTGTATGGCCAGTTCTTGAGTCACTCCCAGCATGAAGGACCTTTCCAATATCCCCTGGGATATGGGGTTAACCCCATGGGTTTTCCTTTTTCGAACCCTTTGGTTTTGGTCTCTTCTAGCAGAGACAAGTAAGTGGTAGTTCTGTTGCCCCCCGCCACCCCCTAAATGTTATGCATTATGCATATGTTGCTTCTTGCCAATTGGGTCCCTTCTTCGAGGGATTGGGAAGCCTGGCTTCCTCTGAACTTGTTGGTCAAGGATTTGCTCTCTAGTGGACCATTCAGTAAAACATTCTTGGAGGGGTTCCTTTATCCAAGCCAGTTCCCACCATCACCCTGTGCACGGATACATCAATAATAGGGTAGGCAGCTTGATTACCTCAACGGGCATGCACGGTTGGAAGAGTGGTCTGGGGAACAGCTCTCAGAAAACATCAACATGCTTCAGATGAGGACTTTTCTGTTGGTTCTGTAAGTCTCTTTGGAAGATTCTGCATTCCAAGGTGGTTTGTGTGGCTATGGACAACTCAACAGTTGTCAGGTAGCTAGAGAGACAGGGGGAACCAGGTCTCACACTCTGTGTGCCCTTACTATCCGTGTTCTTCTTCTTTGCCAGGAGATGCAACTGATAATTTGTGTCAAGCATCTTGCAGGCAAGTTGAATGTTTTGGTGGATATTCTTTCCAGGCTCCTTCAGCTGGTTCTGACGGAATGGCAACTGAATCCTTGAATTTTTGAGGGAATTTGTCAGGTGTGGGACAGGCCTCACATAGACTTGTTTGCCACTGCCCTGAACTATCGGTTACCAATGTTTGTCTCTATGGTTCAAGATCTAAAGGCTTTGGCTGTGGATGCTCTGTCTCTGGACTGGGAGGGAATGCATGCATAGTCCCTGTATTCCTCCCCTTGCCTCCTCACCCTGGTTGCCTTTTGGCTCCATGATAGGTTTTTGAGGAAGGGAGATCACCTTGGTCTCTATCGTCAAGATATGAGTCATTGTGAGGGTAGGGAAGGTGGGATTTTTGAATCCTTTGTTTTTGGGCTACAAAGATGGGTGAAGGTATTGAATATGCATACTAAAGTTATGGTAAGTATAACCTCATGAAAATTTGGTTTTACATTAAAAAAAACTTACGTTCCCTGGTTAATTAGTTGAAACTGTAAAATATCAAAAAGGTTCAACTGAAAAAGACAAAAACCTTTTTTGCTTCCATTCTTGTCATAGCCTAATACCTTGAGTGCCACAATTGATTTGAAACATTGTGGAAATTATCAAACATTTATATTTTCAGAAAAACTTGTATCTAATCTTTTATAATTATTTGTTCAAAAGTTTGTAAAAGATATGACATAGGTGGTAGGTTAGCACATGTAACTGTTTGCAACAACTTGAGCTACTGGTAATGAGGAAAAAAATACATTATAAAAAAAGGAAAGATATAATATCTGAGGTAATAAAACACCCTCATTTATATTTATTTTTTTACTTTGACTTTACTAAACTTCGTGTGAAAGTTGAAGAAACTTCCTAATTTTGTTGTCAGAATGAGTATCAGTTCAACGTTTTTGTATTTTTAGATCAAAGGGAAGAGAAAACAGAAAAGTAAAGTCTGCCTCCAGCTCCAGAAGTAGGTCACCAACACCTGTAAAGAAAGAGTTACTGGCACCCCAACGACCAACAAACCCAACTCCTGACAGCCATCGCCATTATGAAAAGCAGGATATGATAACCCCTCAGTTGTCTTTGGCAAGTTCCCCAGTTTTAAGTCTGAAAAATAGGTCAAGGTCAACTTCAAAGTCACCACCAAGACAAAGATCAAGGTCTCCATCATCTTCGCGGTCTAGGTCACGTTCAAGATCAAGAACACCTGATAACACTTATCAAAACACCTCAAGATCAAGTTCAATAACTCCTGTCAAAAACAGGTCAAGGTCACCTACTCCAAATAAGGACAGGTCAAGATCAAAATCAAGGTCCAGGTCTGGATCAAGGTCCACTTCAAGTTCAAGTTCTTCTGAATCTTCAATACAACAATCAGGCTCACAGAGATCCAGGTCAAAATCATCAGATTCAGTTCGTCGCAAGGAAAGCAAAGAGAGACTGCAAAAGAAAGCACAGAAACTGAAGGCTTTGAAAAAGCAGCTTCAAGATCAGCAAAAGGCACATGAACAACAACAAGAGGTCAGTATATTATACACTTGTTAGTACCCAACTTAATACTGTAGGAGACTATAGGTTTGTCTGTCCTTGTGTCACTTTGTACAGGGAATACCTCAAATAACCTGTCAACTGCAATTGCCAATATTTTATACATGAGTACTTCATAATGGCAGCATGTCACATATTTAAATCAGGTCTTGTGCTCTATAATATGCAGAGTTATGGCCCTTTGTTCTTTCTCATTTTGGTCCCAATGTTTGTCCAACATTGGGAAACTATGACATACTTGAAACACTGCATTGTTTAGCTGTTATTTTTATTTTAGAACTATTAACTATATCTCTGATATGCTAATTTATCTACATGTTTTATGAAATACATTTTCTCAAGGAAATCATAACTTTGCTCATCCATAATTACAGATTAGATAACCATTGGATGATAAAAAGTTTTTTTTAGAAATATTGTTTACCGAAGATAAATATATAAAAGATAAGTTTTCTATTGACAGGAGATTCAAAAACAGTCAAAAATGTTGAAGAAATTGAAGAAAAAACTGAAAAAGAAGAAGAAAAATGGCACTGTTCTAGGACCTTATTCTACAAAATCTCAGGTAAAATTCTGCTACAGCAACTGTGTATTGCAGGCACATACCTGTAGAAATCTCAGTTCCAATGCCATGGAAACACAAATTTGCTAAAATTTCTATTTTCAGATGTTCTGAACTAAATTATGTTAAAGTATGATAATTATGGCAGATATTTAGCTCATCTATTCGAAGAATAGGTGGGCTAATGTAGTAATAATGTATATTTTGAGCAAGTGTTTTCCAGACAGTATTGGATCATCACACTCCATGCACTGTTGTCTATTATGAGGTTAGAGGCATTTATCTGGAGTGTAAGCAATGTGTTGAACCATATTTTCATATTCTATGGGCCAAAACAGCTTAATTGGACTTTGTTAAAGTTTTTGGGCAAGATTTAGATTAAATCGATTTTTGATGCAGTGGATCACCACCAGGAATAGGCTGTTGTCTTTTATAAGGCTGAGACATTAATATGGAGTGTAACCAATGTACTGAACCAAATTTTCTAATATCAGTGGCCAAAAATAGCTTAAAAGGACTTTTTTAATTTTTTGGGCAAGTTTTTTATGCAATGTTGGATCACCACCATCAATAGGCCGTTGTCTATTATAAGGTTGTAGTTATTTATACGGAGTGTAAGCAATATGCAAGTATATGGTCAATGTGACCTGTTTTAGGATTGATTGCTAAAATTATATAAGGTTATTTCACTTACATGACCTTATACTTCAATATTTGTATATATACATCTATATAACACAGAATGTAACTTTAGCCCAGATTTTGTAGATGTATGGTTCACCAACATTGTCTACAACAAAACACTGTTCTCACACTAACAATAGCAAATTAGTAACCTACAATGTACAACATATACCAAAGAGATGGAGATCCACCGTCCGCTCTTGGTATGTTCAGTGAAGTTCAGCAGACCCAAGTTGATGAAATTTCTATGGAATAAACTAGTCCAGCACAACAGTAATAAATTCAAAAGAAGAGATGACCAGACAATATCAAATGGAGAGATTCGGCAACATGTGAATTGTTTACAGTTACTGTCTCCCCATTTCACGTTGTCTGGTGATCTCTCCTTTTGAAATGTAAAACATGTTGAGGTACAGCAAAACCTCGTTATATTGCCACCATTTGTTCCAAGAAATGTTTGCATTAAAAATTGTTTGGCAATAAATTGGAATATATAAAAAAAAAATATATGGAACATATAAAGGAATTTTAAAGAAAAAGAGAATTAAGGGAGCTGAAAATACGTTGGCGGTAATTAAATAAGGTGTAAAATGAAATGACAGGCATTATATCGAGGTTTTACTGTACATTTCTTTCTATTGATATTTGCTATCTTACAACATATATCACCAATAGGCAAGCTATGCTGTTCTCCAACAGCTCTTTTTATACGCCCGTCAAAATTCGACAGGGGTATTATGGTATAGCGTCTGCGTCCGTCCGGTTAAAGTTTTGGTGCAGTTTCTTTTTTTTGTGGTGTAAAGTTCAGTCAGATCATGTGTTATTGTCCTAAATTCTGGCATGGATGCTTATGTGGGGTCTAACAAGGACAATATGGATTTAATTTGGGAAAATGATTTCTATGTTGGGAACTTTTGGACGTGTTTGGGACTTTACTTTTCTACCTGTTGGACTGTTTTACCTCCATTAATAAAACTGACATGTCTATAAAACTAATATAAAATATGTTTGTTTCCTGTTTGCCTACCATCCCCAATTCAAAAATATTGAAGAAGAGTTAGATACTGAACAATAATAATAAATTACACATTGCCAGATTCAACCCAAAATGCAACAAGAAACACACATAGTTTGTATAGACTGAAAAAAAATGTAATTCTGAATTAAGACAATCACTCATTTCACACGAAGATAATTTTAAGCACAAATTTAGAATCTACTAAGATTCAATAGGTATATTATAACGTAGCCCTGTAAACCCACAAGTCAAATTAAGGGGAGTCATGCAAAAACATACTCTCGAGGGTCTACTGCATGCCCTGATTAAGAGGCATTAGGCAGTACATTAGCAAAGAACGGCTACCAGGTACTTTAAATATCAAACAAATAAAAAATCATTGGATGGAATCATCAGACGGGCGTATTATGCATCTTATTAATTTTGATTTTATTTCCAAATCATTTTTCATGTCAAGTATATACTGCCTACACCGACATGAACTTTCACTGTTTTATTACATGAATTCAGATTGTTATTTATTTCAATTCTTGCAGGTTGTTGAAGTAGAGCGAAGTGAAAATTTTGATTATGATGATGAAAAGAAGTCCACAAACACAGGTAAATTTTTCTACGCAACTTAAGGTTTGGAGTCAATTTTTGGGACACTCTGGACAACAGAATGTACTGGAAGACGTTTTAGTAAAATCTATTTCATTCCACATCTTTATCTAGAAATTTTGTTTTAGTTTTAGATTTACAGCCATGAAATAGGAGAGATACGTACCAGGGTAAACGTACTTTAAATTTACCTGAATTTAAGGATCCCTGCGAAACTGCAACTATGATAATAATTATATACCACATTTATATAGCACCCTATATAATTTGTAAAATTACTCTAAAGCGCTTTACAACATATGGTTAATAGTATTAGTTATAATTGTTAAACAAAAAAGACTTACAATCACCATTATTTATTAAGCAAGAAGATAATCATCACAATGTGCTCATAAATGAATAAATTTATGAGCACATTGTCGCTTGGTGAAGAATAAGTCATTGTCCATCGGGGATTTTGTAACATCTCAGGACATTGACATTCTTGCATTGACAGAAACCTGGTAAGATTCAGATATCGATGACCAGGTCCTAGCTGAGCTAATACCAACATGCTATGGATTCCTCCACAATGCTAGACTCGGCAAAACGTTTTGGTGGGGTGGCTGTTCTGTTTAAGTAAGGCCTAAGTGTGAGACATCTCTCTTCCAGCCATGATGATGTATACACACACTTTGAGCACCTGACTTGTTCTGTCATTGCTGATGATAAACAATTTACATTGTGTATCATTTTCAGGCCTCCTCCATCTAAACAGAATGTTTTCCGAAATACAGTGTTTTTTGATGAATGATCTACCTTTTTAGACCACCAAGTTGTTGTACCACAAGAGATTATTATCACGGGTGATCTAAATTTCCACTTAGACGATCTATCTAATGTTGATGCTCGCCAGTTCTCTGGTCTACTAGATTCCAGGGGTATGATTCAGCATGTGACAGAAGCTACACACACCCATGGCCACACACTGGATGTGGTCATTACGAGGGAAGATAACTCAGTCATTCATTGAGCTATTTCAGTGATTGATCCATATCTAAGTGATGTAAAGGGGAACTAATCCAGTGATCATCTTGCTGTCCACACAACACTGAATTGTAGTAAGCCAGATCGTGCAAGGAAAGAAGTGAGCTTCCAGAAATTCCGCGAAATTTCAATACCAGATTTCAACACTGACATTCAGTCTTGTTCCGCCCTTCAATATACTGAAGGCGAGGTTGATGATCTTGTTGAAGCATACACATCTGGTATAGAAGCCCTTATAGAGAAACACGCACCTCTGCAGACTAAGGTGATAACTGTAAGACCGAATTCCCCGTGGTATAATGAAAATCTCCGCGTTGAAAAACAGAACTATAGAAAAGCAGAGAGACAGTGGTGACGGACCAAATTAACCGTTCACCAACAGATTTATAGGGAGCAATGTCGGCTTGTTGGTTCACTTCTCTTTCAGTCAAAGAAGGCTTATTATACGGTTACTGATGTCTGTCAGACAAGCTTCCAGATTTTCTGATATTATCCCAACTGTCCTGTGGTTTGATGACCAGGTAAATTTGTGTGTCATCAGCATAACAATGATAGCGAAGGCTATGGCGATGACAAATCTCTCTGATCAGTTTGGAATATAGGCAATATTTTCGAGGTCCTAACACTGACCCTTGAGGAATCCCGAATCTAGTACTTTGTCATGTGAGGTGGAAGATCCTATGGCAACACACTGTCGTCATTCACTCAGATAAGACTTAGTATCCAGCATAGTGCAGTATCAGTCACTCCATATTAGTGACTGCCTATGCATTGGAAACTGTTTTTTTCAGCTTGACTATAGCTTTGATATATCATTGCAGAAAAGAACATCATACCTTGTGGGACTTTTTATACGCCCGTCAAATTTGACGGGAGTATTATGGTATGGCGTTGTCCGGCCGGCCAGCTTTCGTTTGTACGGCAATCTCTTCCTACATTGTTCGACCGATCTCTTTGAAACTTAGTATACATTATAATCATGATATGAAGTTGTGTCTCCCTTAAAAGAATTTTGATTCGACAATTTTTCCAAAAGTTATTCCCCTTTGTTCATTTCAGTATTTGATTTTTGTCCGGCAATCTCCTCCTACATTTTTCAACTGATCTCGTTGAAATTTGGTATACATTATAATCATGATATGAAATTGTGTCTCCCTCAAAAGAATTTTTGCAAAAGTTATTCCCCTTTGTTCATTTCAGTATTTGATTTTTTTATCCGGAGATTTTCTCCTTCATTTTTGTAGCATGTCAGCTAACCACTCTTTGAATGATGCAGATCTTATTTCGATGTAAGAAAATATATAACAATGTATGGTATTCGACGGGCGTATATTGTTCCGCCCTGCGGTATTCTTGTTATAAAATATAACAAAGATCAAAGATAGAATATACAAAATATAATCAAAATCTGTGTTATGATTGTAAATAATAATGTTGGGTGGGGTGGGGCTGGACTGGAATTCAAACCCTGCACTTCAGGTTGTTATACTATGGCTATTACTGACTGAACTACCTGGTCAATAAAAGTGTCCTGACTCGATTGTACTATAGTTATAGCCAAAACGAAATTAAAGGAAGGTTACTTTGAATGTGAAAAAGCATGTACAGTGCAGTGGGACAGGGATCCTTAAGCATTCTTTCTATAATAAAACTGTTTATATCATTGTTTTACTTATGACATCTGTATTCCAGGTACCTTGAAGGTTAAGTCTGGACTTTTGGAACAAAGGAAATCCCTCCCCGTACTTAGGGAAGGAGAGGAAGTACTGGCTCGCTGGTCAGACGAGGGCTGGTATTTCAGAGGTATGTCACTCTATTCCAGGATACTTGTGTGTGCAAAAGAGGAGAAAGTCTCACAGTAAATGGGTAGGAAGTGTAACACTACTGTTGCATGTACTACATATCCCACACAGACAAACCTGCATTGAGGGACCACCCTCAAAAGTAAAACAAAAAGTGGACTTTCAATTAATGCAGGTGGTCTCTTAATACAGGTTCAGTTCAAAATGAAATATATCTAAAAAGTGGCCTCTAGACTCCGATGGTATCTTAATAAATTTGGTCTGTGCAAACCATCCAGACTAAAAGGATCCTCGAAAATACCTTTCTTGATCGTTATATACATGTACTCAATTACTAGTTTAGAGATGATTTCACTACTTCAGAATATTTGTTTAAATATAGCATCCAGACTGGATTTTTATTTTTATTGATATAATCAATATCATTTCAACCACAAAAAGGTCAAAAACAATGCAGTTCCATACAGTGCTTTCAAATTTGTAGGGCTTAAAATCTATGGAACAGATAATCCTATCTCTATCAGATGTAGGGCTTAAAATCTATGGAACAGATAATCCTATCTCTATCAGATGTAGGGCTTAAAATCTATGAAACAGTTAATCCTATTTCTCTATCAGATGTAGTGCTTAAAATCTATGGAACAGATAATCCTATCTCTATCAGATGTAGGGCTTAAAATCTATGGAACAGATAATCCTATCTCTATCAGATGTAGGGCTTAAAATCTATGGAACAGATAATCCTATCTCTATCAGATGTAGGGCTTAAAATCTATGGAACAGATAATCCTATCTCTCTATCAGATGTAGGGCTTAAAATCTATGGAACAGATAATCCTATCTCTATCAGATGTAGGGCTTAAAATCTATGGAACAGATAATCCTATCTCTCTATCAGATGTAGGGCTTAAAATCTATGGAACAGATAATCCTATCTCTATCAGATGTAGGGCTTAAAATCTATGGAACAGATAATCCTATCTCTCTATCAGATGTAGGGCTTAAAATCTATGGAACAGATAATCCTATCTCTATCAGATGTAGGGCTTAAAATCTATGGAACAGATAATCCTATCTCTCTATCAGATGTAGGGCTTAAAATCTATGGAACAGATAATCCTATCTCTATCAGATGTAGGGCTTAAAATCTATGGAACAGATAATCCTATCTCTCTATCAGATGTAGGGCTTAAAATCTATGGAACAGATAATCCTATCTCTATCAGATGTAGGGCTTAAAATCTATGGAACAGATAATCCTATCTCTCTATCAGATGTAGGGCTTAAAATCTATGGAACAGATAATCCTATCTCTATCAGATGTAGGGCTTAAAATCTATGGAACAGATAATCCTATCTCTCTATCAGATGTAGGGCTTAAAATCTATGGAACAGATAATCCTATCTCTATCAGATGTAGGGCTTAAAATCTATGGAACAGATAATCCTATCTCTCTATCAGATGTAGGGCTTAAAATCTATGGAACAGATAATCCTATCTCTATCAGATGTAGGGCTTAAAATCTATGGAACAGATAATCCTATCTCTCTATCAGATGTAGGGCTTAAAATCTATGGAACAGATAATCCTATCTCTATCAGATGTAGGGCTTAAAATCTATGGAACAGATAATCCTATCTCTCTATCAGATGTAGGGCTTAAAATCTATGGAACAGATAATCCTATCTCTATCAGATGTAGGGCTTAAAATCTATGGAACAGATAATCCTATCTCTCTATCAGATGTAGGGCTTAAAATCTATGGAACAGATAATCCTATCTCTATCAGATGTAGGGCTTAAAATCTATGGAACAGATAATCCTATCTCTCTATCAGATGTAGGGCTTAAAATCTATGAAACAGTTAATCCTATCGCTCTATCAGATGTAGGGCTTAAAATTTATGGAACAGATAATCCTATCTCTCTATCAGATATAGGGCTTAAAATCTATGAAACAGTTAATCCTATCTCTCTATCAGATGTAGGGCTTAAAATTTATGGAACAGATAATCCTATCTCTCTATCAGATATAGGGCTTAAAATCTATGAAACAGTTAATCCTATCTCTCTATCAGATGTAGGGCTTAAAATTTATGGAACAGATAATCCTATCTCTCTATCAGATATAGGGCTTAAAATCTATGAAACAGTTAATCCTATCTCTCTATCAGATGTAGGGCTTAAAATTTATGGAACAGATAATCCTATCTCTCTATCAGATATAGGGCTTAAAATCTATGAAACAGTTAATCCTATCTCTCTATCAGATGTAGGGCTTAAAATTTATGGAACAGATAATCCTATCTCTCTATCAGATGTGCAGTATATTTGTAGGCCTTTATTTCACACATTCTGATTTGTTGCGATATATAGCAAATAAAACCTCTGAAATATACAAAGGCTATACAGATGTAATAGGAGTGGGAAAATGCAAGCCAGTCGGGGTTCGAACCAGGGACCCTTTGAACTCCAGATGGATGCTCTACCAATTGAGCTACCTGGTCACCAACAATGGACCCAGTTAGGGAATTGAATTATTTATTACAGGTATTGTACAGCAGGACTGTGGTGACTTGAGCTATATCATTGAGGACAGTACGCGAATGTGTGAGAAAATCTGGAGGGAAGACATCATCACTGACTATGATGATGCAAACCAGATTATACAGGTACATATAAGTGTCTCGTTAACTGTGATATTAAAATACATATTCAAACGTTTGAGGTTTTTCAAGGTGGTAACCATTAACTGATATTTGAGTAAACAAAAATTACCTTTGTCACACTTTGTCAACTGCCTTGAGTTTGTGTATTAAAAAAAGAAAAAAAATCTTTTGGACAAATTGTTATGTACAAAAAGCATAAGTGTGGCTGAAAAAAGGTCATCTATTATAAACCATTGTAACAAAAATGTCTTCACAAGCTCTGTTATTGGTATATATTTGGATTGCTTTGTTTATTTTATTTACCATACCCTATAGCTAGCAGGGAAACATTTTAACTTTTTTAACATCAAGCTCCAACTTGATGTTATTGTAATGCATGTAAAGCAATAATGTTTTCCTCAAGTTGTGTAAATGTGAAACTATAAAATAAATTGAACTGCTAATTGTTCACATCATGTCCATTCAGCCATTAAATATAACACACAGTTTCGTTTGACCTATTAAGCTGTTCTGTAATCCCTCCAGCCTAAGGATGCTGTGGTAGCCCTCCATCCCCACTACAACTTCAGCTATGCTCCAGGGATTGTTCTCGAGGTCTACCAAGACCTGCATATGAAGATTCGTTTTTACGACGGTGAGGAGTCCACCCTGCCACGTGAGGAGATCTACAAACTCACGACTGAGAAGTTTGAACATGACGTTAATTACATCATCGAGTGTGAGACAAGATGGGTGGGGCAGGCCGTAGTGGGACGTAACGATGAGAATGGAACATATCACTTTGGTGAGTATCATTGCTCATATACCTGTGTAGTATAATGTTTATATGTAAAAGTGGCAGTAAACAATAAAAACAAAACAAAATATAAATGTGGCACTGTAAAAAATGTTATTTTTTGAAAGAAAATATTTGCTTTTTTTGGCTTAATTGTCTAGTTTTGATTATTGCAATTTTTATTTTTGAACATTTTTGAATTAGTTCAGAAGTCTTTGGATTTTTGCAAGGCACCCAAGAAGCTTCTTTAAAAATGATACACAATCCTGTGCCAAATTTTAAAATGTTCTATTAATTGGTAAATTATTGATAATGTTTTATTTAATATTTCTGTGTGCCTACAACATTGGTAAAGGAATGAATAAATGGTTAACTGTTTCTGTCCCTGCAGTATGAATAATGGAGAAAGTTATGGTTGTTGTTTACCCGAGAGTAATTTGGTAGGTTGAGAATGGAGCAGTTGATACAACAGTGTCTTATTGTAAGTTTCTTGGTTCCCAAAGTGAAGGAGCAATTAAATAATCAATGGTTGTTTTCATCCCGGCAGCATCGGTGAAGGAGCGTGTGGGTAACGGGCGAGAATATATGCTGGAGTGGTGTGATGGCTCGGTCACACGCCAGAAATCCATCAACATATTCGGGACCTTCACCAAGCACCATCCTCTAGCGATCGGGGACCATGTGCTGGCAATGGTGGATGAACACCAACATGTGTATCTACCTGGCTGGGTAGCAGGCATCATTGGAGACAAAATCAACATCAAGTTCTGCAATGGTGTCATGTGAGTAGAAAGGGAGGAATGTCTTTTCATGTATTTCCTATTATTTAATTTCAGAAAAATATTAGAAAGCTCTAGTGTACCGACTACAATGATTAAGGTCACACAAACATATCTGTAACATCATACAGGTAATCTCTTATTTTTCAAAACATCTATTTTCACCTGAATTCACAAAAAAACAAAATCACATTTTCAAATATGCTATGATTTTTAATTTATAAACAAAAAAAGTAAACAAGGTATTGCATTGGTATCTATATTTGTATTATCTGTTCTTCAAAGTCATTTCGTTGCAAATATGTCATAAGACAAATAAACACAGAAATGAGTATATATGAAAAGAAATTGATATATTTGTTAATGACCGTTTTACTTAAAAATCAGATCAATCGATGATACAAACATGTATTTCATGTTTTTGATGATTATTTATTTTTGACAAATTTTCAATTTTTCAGACAAAATATAGATGATGTTCTACAGTGTTTCTGGTTGAGCAGTCGTTACTATGACTACGCCAAAGAATACTACCTACAGCGTAACCTTGATGGCTCCATATCACCACAATAAGACAGGTTGCAGAGACTGAAGAACATTTAGACTAAGTGTTTTGGTTGGTCATATCAACTATTTCATGTACATGTAACTTAAGTTGTAGGTCTACAAATAAAACTGGACAGGATGTAGTTAGGTATTAAATCCTCTTTGTTTCAAATTAAATAGTTCTTTTTTTGCTTTCCTAAATAACTATGCGAGATCATGATTTTAGCAATGACACGAAAATGGAAAATATAGACTCATGGACTCCCCAATCAGTTGTTGTTGGTTTTTATATTCATTTTAATTGAGTTAAGTTAATTCTACATTTTATAAATACACAAGATTTATCAAATGTCTTTTATAATTTGAACATTAACTAATGAGAGCTATATAAACATGATAACCACCATCATAGGTTTGGAGACCTTTGTCTCCCATAACGTTTCTGTCTCATCTAGAAAAAAACATATATTTTATTTGGAAATGTATTTCTTCTGTCAGACTCCAATCAGAAAATCTATTGCTATGAATCATGACGTCACAATTGAAGGAAATGATGCAAAGCAATGTTATGTGATGTCATAAACCAAAGATTGATTTAGGAAATAATGTCTAGGTCCCAGTTGCACCAACCGTTAGAATTAACAAGTTGTTACAGACAATTTCAGATATGTACACAACAAGTTCAAGGTTGTGTGATATATTTTACTGCTATATGTTTGTTTATACTGATTATATTCATGTGAATTTATTTTGCTTTGAAAGCCACTATTTTCTATTGGAAACAATTTGAATTTTTCACTTACCACTGGTTAAAAATACCTTTAGTTGGAGCTATTGGGGCCAAGACTAGTGTGAGGAAACCTATAGTGGCTGTGGGAGAAATGATGTTGTACATCATGAGTAGCATTTAAGGATCACATGTCTCCCAGGCTGTAAATGTATCATGAGTATGCTTATACATGTAAATAAATATTTACTTCATTTATAGAATACTTTTTGCACTATTGTTCAAATGCAAGATCTGTTTTAGGAATGTCTCAATACTTTTCATTTTCTTTCCATCAGGAACTCCAGAAACATCACTTCAATGCAAAAACTGTGATAGCACTATTTAAAAATCCGGGGTCTTGAACCTCCATCTTCTGTGTGGAGGCCATGTAGGTGCTTACCTTAGAAATGACCCATTTATACTTTTTAGTCCCCTAACGGTGAAACCGGGAGGGACTATAGTTTTCCACTCCCTCCGTCTGTGTATGTACGTACGTAACACCAATGTTTGTCAACACACTTCATTCCTTGAGGGATTTTGATCAAACTTCACACAAATACACAGGACCATAATATCTCTGACAAGTTCGAATTTCAAGGTTTTTAGGTCAATGTCAAGGTGACCGTTACTATTTAAAGAAAACCCTTGTCAGCGCTCTAGTGGCTTCATTCCTTGAGGGATGTTTATCAAACTTCACACAATTACAAAGGACCATAATATCTCTGACAAGTTCGAATTTCAGGGTTGTCCGGTCAAGGTCACTGTTACTATTTAAAGAAAATCCTTGTCAGTGCTCTAGTGGCTTCATTCCTTGAGGTATTTTGATCAAACCTCATACAATTACAAAGGACCATAATATGTCGGACAACTTCGAATTTCAGGATTGTTGGATCAAGGTCAAGGTCACCATTACTATTTTTAGAAAATCATTGTCAGCGCTCTAGTGGCTTCATTCCTTAAGGGATGTTAATCGATCTTCACACAATTACAAGGACCATTATATCTCTGACAAGTTCGAATTTCAGGGTTGTTAGGTCAAGGTCAAGGTGACCGTTACTATTTAAAGAAAATCCTTGTCAGTGCTCTAGCGGCTTCATTCCTTAAGGGATGTTAATCGAACTTCACACAATTACAAGGACCATTATATCTCTGACAAGTTCGAATTTCAGGGTTGTTGGATCAAGGTCAAGGTCACCATAACTATTTTTAGAAAATCATTGTCAGCGCTCTTGTGGCTTCATTCCTTGAGGGATTTTGATTAAACTGGGCAAGTTGAAGCCAGTGAACTTTTTGATAGGTTTATTTGATCATACATGACCAGTGAACATGTACAAATAACCAGATTCCTTAAGGCCATATCTGTGTTTACGATCACGAATATAGCCATGTGAATACTGGTTTCACTTAATGAAAATATATTTCTTTTATCTATTACATTTCCTAGAAATATTAATCATTTCACTTATTGAAAATATTTGAAATAGCATGTAAACATTATGGTTTAGAAACATTAGGATACCTACAGACAAAAAATAAGTTTCAAATTCAAAGGGCCCTAACGCTGTTAAAAGGGCAATAATGCACTGAATTAAACTGGATAAGTACCACGTTATTACACATTGGTGATGATATTCACGTATCTTAATCACCCTTGCTGGTAATTGTTTTAATACCACAAAAGCAACAAAATATAACTATCATTTTATTTTATATAATTCTTTTGTCATAATACTAACATTACAATTTTTTGTATTATTATTAGATTAAAATCAGGTACAAGCTAATTGTATACTTTTCATTTTCCCAAATTAACACCAAAGGGCACCATTTTTATAAATTATTATAATGTAATAACCAGTAGGGGACATGTATTTCTTTAGCAATACTCAGTATGCTTGTTTCTGTCTGTGATGTTGATACATGTAGCTTACCTAAGACATAGTATTATTATGTAGGAATAGGTTGTGTGCTATAGGTAGATGACATTTGCCATGCATAGGAATGAAAGCTTTCTTAGCAGTACTATATATTAAACAAGGAACCACGATTAGAAGTATAACATCTAATTAAGAAACCTAATTAGTTAAACTAATTAAAGTATCATATTGCTTAATTTAGTAGATTGTTTAAGTTATTTAATGTATTAGGTAAGTTTGATATCTATTTTACTCATTTAGATATAGTTAATTATTAATTAAAGTAATTAATGTAATAAAAATAGTATGCTTAAATTATTTAGTAATTAGGTATTTAACTTTAATCGATGAACTACATAAGAATGATAAAATATATCTTAAAAAAATGACAATACTGCAGATTATTTATAACATTTTGTTCACTAAGGTACCCTGTCCCACTGCACTACTGCTGTTTTTGTTTACAGTAATCTCCCTTAAACTTCTGTCAATATAACTGTAGCACATTTGGGCTCGTAAACCTCCGCTGACCAGATAGTGCAATCAGTTACAGCAATGGTATAACAATCTGAGGTCCAGGGTTCCAATCTGGTCTAGCCCCGCTGAACTATTTACACTCGGAACATTCTTGTTAGTTGTATTTTGTTTCTTTCATCATTATTTTTCATAAAAATCCCGCAAGGTATGGGTTTCTTCTTTCAGAAATGATTTATCAAGGCTATAGTCATGCTGGGACCAGTTCCTAATACTTAGTGACAGGTTTTGGCAGTGGTACGAGCATCCTTAATGTGTATGTATAATGGTACTTGAATTTTTATAAATGCTTAATGCAAATTTCACACTTAAATATAACCAACCATTAAAAATCTACAGTAATATATTAAACAAAAGGATTAATTCAGCTTAAGATAAAAAAAAAAAAATCGATCGAAAATTGATGCTTATTTATACAAAACATGTATTTGAATATTGTCTTGTTATTGATGATTGATTTAATATTATGACAATGTACTTGACCAATTATATTGTAGATATGATTCTATTACAACCTATCAATCAATCTTCAGATTTTATTTTTATACATGGTACCTATTTTCATGAGTTTTCTTACTCGACTAAATCTTTGTGTGTATATATATATATCTAATTGATAACATAATCAATTATGCTGCTATTAATAGAGAAACAAGGTTGTGTGTGTGAAAATTTTGTGCATCGTTAGTTGGCTTTTTAAGTGTGGTGAGGGAACTGTTTTAGTAGACTTCATGTAAGAATATAAAACTCATTCGTTATGTGAATCAGAAATCATTACTTAACAAAATCGGACACCATGATACAAATTGTATCCAACATGTTTTGAGGATATAATTACTTTTTGCAAACATTCTTTAGTGAGGATTTTTTTTACTGCTCTTTGCATCAATTAAAAACTAATTAATTATTAAATTGCTGCTTAGCATAGAATTGCTGTATTCCTGTTTAAAATGTTTGATATTCATCTGGAAATGTTCGCCCAGTAAAATGTTCACCCTTCGACAGTATGATCTATATTTGTCCAATATCAAATACACCCTTCACATTTAATTGCTATGTATATTATGTTGTTTACTTCACTGTAATGATAAATTGGCCCTCATTATGGAAGTTGAAAAACGTGAAACTTAAACTCAGCGAAAACATTTTACAGATTTTCATAAATACTATGTTTTCAGGATAACCTTTGCCCTGTTTATAATATGATAAGTGCCTTTACTAGTACCATAAATGACAGTTATGCTAATTTTGCAGAAACATATTGATCACATAAATAATGAAAATTAAAGTTATCATGTAGGTTTTGAATGTCTTTATATATTGTTTTAGCAATATAACTTTGGTGTTTGTATGGCCCAAACCGCCAGCTCTTTTGTATCATCAATATGTATTAAGATTTGAATCTCATCAAAATAGCTTTATCCAACTAGATTTAACTTAATTGACTTCAATATTCACATAAGTGAACAATCTGTAAGAGTCCTTAGTTTGTTCAATTTTAAATGTATGAATTAAACAAATAGTTGCCAGCACAGTGAAATTTCTTTAGTATCCTTGGTATTTTGGCATGTTTAAAGGAATACATAACCAAAACAATGCCTGATAGGCTGATATGTTATTTGTTAAATATTATAGGTCCTTAACCATTGACATTGTAGCTCAGGCCTGTATTCATGAAACTGTTCTCATACGCTCAAGCATGGGTTCTGTGCTCAAACCAGCTTTGTTGTAATTCATATAAATCAAATCAAACGATCAAAAAGTCAAATGTAAACATTGAAAACTGTAATTATCTTTAAGTCTTTTCAATATTTTTCCAAATCATTGACAAAATAAGATGGTTTTTTTATAAATTTATAACCAGAACAAGAAATAAGGTTTGAGACACAAATTCCATGCTTGATGAAAATGGGAAGATAACTCTGAGCTACATAGTAAGGATTTACACTTCTGCTATGTGTGATGCTATGTGTGAAGATGATTTGTAATATAAGGGACCTCTGGCTATCATAGATAATACAGATTAGGGTGTTTTTGTTTCTGTATTAGCTGTTGCTCTAGGTAAGTTGTTTACATGGAAAGATTTATTGTTTTTTTTACTGAAAACAATTATTTTTTGTTCATGATATATCAGCATTCCACATGTTTGATATTTTCAAAATGTATTCAAAGATGATGAAAATTTTATGAAATCATGATTATTACCAGAATAAAAATATGCTTATATGTATTTGTTTTTGTTTTTTCATAGTTATTAAATGTCTGTTTACGTTTATTGAATAATATCTGTTGCATGAATGGCTATATAGAGTGTGTATGATGAAATGGTGAGTGGTGCCAGTTTTCTTATGCCTTTGAAGCTGTTTCACAACGTTTTAATATATACTACTAATTGAATTTCGAATTTACACTAGAGAGAGAAAGCCAAAAAAGACCTCCTTGTAGAAAACCTTATTCATAAATAAAATCGAATAAGGAGGGTGAAGGTCACGAGGACCTAGTCAGTGGGATGTTACAGAGCTCTGAGAAATAACTAATATTTCATAAGTTTGTACATTGAACTGTGAAATATGATTTTCTGACATGGGATAGATATTAGTTACATCCATCTGCGGTGGGTGCTTATTTATTAAACTTTTATCAGGAAATAGTGTTTTTGAGCGAAACAATTTGAGACCATGGACGGAGCTTCGTGGCTGACTACAACCACGGACTTATATAGCTAATTCCGTGCTACAACTCGGCACCACAGGGAACTGAGAATTGTTACAGCTATATTTGGACCTAAACTAAGGTGTTCAGAGCAATTTTACATGTTTTAGGGGTTTAGATCACCCTTCGGTTAAAATGACACCACCCAATGATCATATGTATTCGAGATCGAAAGTTAGAAAAACTCCAGGCTGATATCAAACGTGAACATGCTGAGCTCGTCGAACTTCTGGAAGAGAGAATAAAAGACTTGGAAATCGAAAATGATGACTTGACAATCACAGTTTCGAAACTAGAGGAAGAGACCGAGAGCGCTAAGGACAGACATTCGGAAATCATTGGTAAACAACGAACCCGATCAGTATGGGCGGAAAAAATCTCTGAGAATTGCCGGATTAAAGGATCCTTGGGAGAGAGAATCGGTAGAAGACTGTGTCCAGACTGTTGTGAGTTTTGTTCGCGATAGGCTGAAGGTACCAGTACAATCAAGTGACATTGATATAGCACGCAGACTTGGAAAGTCTAATGGACCAAGACCAAGGAATGTGATAGTGAAATTCACACATCGAAGGAAGAAGCAAGACATAATTAACGCTCGAATAAACTTGAAAGGATCCCACTTCGTAATATTTGAGACGTTTTAACACGTGTACGTACTTAGAATCTAATCTAATTCCGTGGTTTTAACCAGCAGAGACACGAGGAGGCCTATCACATGGATTGTGTTAAGAACTCGTACAATATTGATGGAGAAAACTTAAACTTCTATTTGATACCCAACTCGTAGAGAACTTTCTACTGAATGATTCCAATTTTGGGATCAGGAAATAAAATTCTTCCTATTCGAGATATCATAATGGAAGATGGTATGGACGATACGCCAGTGCTACTTGGTTACCGAGCTTGGGACTATATTGGTGCTATCTGTGTGTAAAGAGGAGTTTATTCTATAAACAAAATAGGGATTCCCCTATCACTATATTTCATATTTCAACAAATTTTATTGGACAAAAACAATTGAACAAATTGATTAGACAACAGGCTTGGCCTATGTAAGTCTTTTCCATTCCGGTATAGATGGACAGAAAACATACATAGCTCAACAAGTCACACTCATATACACTTACACACATATAGGCTAGAACATTCAACCAAGTTATGATTATAAGAAAGGAAAAGAAACATTAATTGATGGCATTTGATAACTTATAAAATAACATATATATGTTTGTACACTCCGACCACACTCCATAACACACGTACATACACACACACACACACACATATATATATGTTTGTACACTCAGACCACACTCAATAACACACTTACATACACACACACACACACACACACACACACACACACACACACACATATATATATGTGTGTACACACAGGTCACACTCTATAACACACGTACATACACACACACACACACACATTTATATATATATATGTTTGTACACCCAGGCCACACTCCATAACACACGTACATACACACATACACACACACATATATATATGTTTGTACACCCAGACCACACTCTATAACACACGTACATACACACACACACACACACATTTATATATATATATATGTTTGTACACCCAGGCCACACTCTATAACACACGTACACACACACACACACACACACACACACACATATATATATGTGTATACACACAGCCCACTCT